AAATAGTTTGTAAGGCATTGCAGGGACACAAGATGAGTAAGGAGGAAAGTCAAGAAAAGAACTCAGTGTTTCAGATTACAAGGCAGAATAAGATGGATGATATAAAAAACATAACAGTTTCTCTGGATGCTCAAAATAAGGAAAATAATGGAAGGATGGAAGAATCAGCAGAGGCTTCATTTGGAAGAAGATTTCTGAGATGAGCCCTGAATGAAAAGTAGTCATTTCACCTGTGTAAGTGGAGGTATAGGAAACAAAATTAACAAAGGCAGGTAAAAGGAGAGTATAAGAGAGAGTCTAGTGACAGCTGAATTTTCCAGATTTGTTGGAACCTAACGCCCCAGTGGTGAAGGAGTGAAATACTAGCAAGCAAAATGTATGGAGAGATAGACTAAAAATCCTTGAGTTCCAGTATAACAAATTCATACCTAATTTGACAGGTTTGTTATGGAAACATTGAAGATTTTTTAATAGGAAAGTATATGACTTTAACTTCCCTTTGGAAATCTATTCTGAAAAAGGAAGAGACCAGAAGGTCAATGAGGAAGTTATGAGAGAAATACCATTTAAGAAACAGTGAGGACTCAACCAGGCAGAATTTCACCCCTCAGAGGAGAGCTGGCAATGCCTGGAGACTCTTTTGATGGTCACCACTGGAGTGGGGAGTGTGACAGGCCAGGGATGCTGCCAAACATCCTACAATAGACAGAACAGCCTCTCCAACAGAGACTTATCCAGTTTAAAATATCAGCTGCTCTAAGGTTGAGAAACTGTAATTAAGACAAATTAATTTACAGAAAAGTTTACATAGTACAATTTAAAAAAAAATAAAGTTTTCTACTTAAAAAAAACAGTGAGAATACCATTTCACACCTTCTAGTATGGCTGTACTGAAAGAACAAAAAAAAGGAAAATAGCAAGTGTTGATGAAGAGTAGAGAAAATGGAAGCCTCATACATTGCTAGTAAAAAAGTAAAATGGTACAACCATGTAGAAAAGTTTGGTAGTTCCTCAAAAGTTAAACAAAGAGTTATCACAATTTAGCAATTTCATTCCTAGTTATATATTCAAAAGAATTGAAAAGATATGTTTTCTACACAAAAACTTGCACATGAATATTTATAGCAGCATTATTCATAACAGCCAAAAAGCGAAAAAAAAATTCATTAACTGAAAAAATATAAACGAATTGTGGTATATCCATACAATATAATATTACTTGGCAATAAAAAGGAATGACGTACTGATGCATCTTATAATATAGATGAACCTTGAAAATGTTATAAGTGAAAACACAAAAGGCCATACACTGCATGATTCCATTTAAATAAAATTTCCAGCATAGGCAAATCCAGAGAGACAGAAAGTAGATTACTGGTTGCTAGAAGATAGGCAAAGGGAGAAATTGGGAAGTATGGGGTTTCTTTTTGGGGTGAGAGAAATATTCTGAAATTAACATTGGTGATGGTTGCATAATATTGTGAATATATTTAACAGTCACTAAACTGTACACTTTAAAATGGTCAAAATAGTGAATTTTATGCTAAATGAATTTATCTCTGTTTTTAAAAAAACAAACCAAAAAAGAAATAGTGAAGAAAAGAAGTACAATGGTGGTCATGTGACTAGAAAGACAAATGAGGGAAATTTTAAGGAATTACAATCTACATGTTTTTACAACTAACATATTTCATCGGCACTAAGACACCATCAATTTTAAGATACACCACAGGGGCTTCCCTGGTGGCACAGTGGTTGGGAAGCTACCTGCCAATGCAAGGAACATGGGTTCAAGCCCTGGTCCAGGAAGATCCCACATGCTGCAGAGCAACTAATCTCATGCGCCACAACTACTGAGCTTGCACTCTAGAGCCCGCGAGCCACAACTACTGAAGCCCACACGCCTAGAGTCCGTGCTCCGCAACAAGAGAAGCCACTGCAATGAGAAGCCCGCTCTCCACAACTAGAGAAAGCCCGTGCGCAGCAACCAAGGCCCAACGCAGCCAAAAATAAATTTAAAATAAAATAAATTTTTAAAAAATTTAAATAAAAAAATGATACACCATAATTTTATATACCACTAAGAAAGAAAAATACTGCCAATTAAACTATAATATCCCAAAGATGGCAAGAAGCAACTGATATCAGAGATTTTAACTTGTAAAAAAAGTGCTTTAGAATCAAAGAAATGTGTAATTGGATATAGGAAATAAAGGAAACATGCAGTTAAAAACAAGATGATCTAGTTTGTGCAGAAACACAATGAATTCAGTTTGAAGCACCACGGGTCCCAAATATGTTGTTTGGGTATTTATACTGAGATTAATGAATTATTATTTAAAATACTGTATATACTAATTCAATGGGTGGGAAATTATACTTTAAACATATATAACATTGGGAATTTTAAGAACTACAAGCCTGAAAATCAACAGTCAGAAAAGGTAAAGCCATTCTCAGGGAAAGAATCCATGACATTATTTTTAGCATTAGGAGACACCCTCATATTCAAAAGCCCAGGGTTCCACCATTCTGAAATCTCTTCTCCAGCTTCCTCTCAAAACACTTCTTAGCACGTTGTTTATGAAAGAAAATAAAAGACAGTCCCTATCTTTAAAGAAACTCATCAAAATGCAGCACAGAAAGAAAGGCAGAAAGAAGGCACATACCAAGCATTCAGAAGAATGTTAATGCGTATTGTTGCCAAGGTAAATACTCAATTTGATCATCATTTATTAAGCACTTAGTATCTTTCAGGACTTTGAAGTGCTCTCTGCAGGATACAAAATGTAAGTAAACACATCATTATTGTAAAGAGGCTGGAGGTTGGAGTGGGGGTGTCAAAAAAGGACACAAATAATAGATATGAGACAGAATAAGTTTTGCTTCATGTAGCTATCTATGTGTGAGGAGTAAGGGGATGGAAACACAGTGAGTGCTGTGGGGATTCAAAACGGAAAAGATCATCCTGGATAGAAGAGCTGGAAATGGCAAGATAGGTATCAGGAAATGGACCTTAAGAATATGTTAGTTTGGTAGGCAGGACAGGCAGCAGTAGGTGTTCTAATCAGGGGAAACAGTTTCAATAAAGCATGGAGGCAGGAAGGCTCACAGTGCATTGGAGAAAGGTCTATCTTAGGTTGATATGAGACCACAAATAGGGAAACCTGGAAGATAAGGTTTGAAACACAGGTTGGGTTGTAGATAAATGGTCTTGAATGCCAGAGTGAGCTCAGTAGGGATTAGAGAGTTCTTAATGGTTTTAGACTAAGAGAATAATACAATAAAAACTGTTAAGAATACTAATCTAACAACATTTTGAAACACTGACTGGCAGAGGGAGCTCTGCAAATAGGAAAATTAGTAAAAAGGCTATTGTGAGTGTTAGCAAGTAGTAAGAAGGTGATTACACTTATCTACAGTGTAATAATAAAAACAGAAGGAAGGAAATGAAAGGCACATGGCAGGTAGAATACACAAAGCTTGTAAACAATGCAGAAAGCAAGGTAAAGGGAGGTTTCAGAACAATAAAAAAAGAATGGAGATGCTAGTGTCAAAACAGGGAAGTCCAAGAAAGGAGTCTGGAGCTGTGAAAGAAGATGAGGTTGCTCTGTGAACATGAACACTATTAAAATAGAAACGTCTAGGAGCAAATGGAAACTCCTGCCTAAAGTTTGGATTAAAGGGAAAGAAATCATAAAAATATGATAATAAAGCCTAGAAAATCAAATGCTAGATGGAAATTTTTTAAAGGTCATTTTAAAAAAAATTAGGCCACTAACAACTTTCCAAAAAAGTTTCAATTAAAAGATAGAGATGGAAACCAGACAAGTAAAGAAGTGAAATGTGGGTAGTGAGAAAGTGGAAACAGAGTATATATCATACTTCTAAAAAGTGTAATTGGGCTTCCCTGGTGGCGCAGTGGTTGAGAGTCCGCCTGCCGATGCAGGGGACACGGGTTCCTGCCCCAGTCTGGGAAGATCCCACATGCCGCAGAGCGGCTGGGCCCGTGAGCCATGGCCGCTGAGCCTGCGCGTCCGGAGCCTGTGCTCCACAATGGGAGAGGCCACAACAGTGAGAGGCCCGCGTACCGCAAAAAAAAAAAAAAGAAAAGTGTAATAGAACAACTTAAATATTCAATAATAAAATATTAGTTAAAGTCTGGAGGAGATAATAGAATACTATGGCTTTTTACCAACAGGATCAGAAGTATTTCAATATTTTAACAATTGGCATCACCTTAATAGGGTATATTAGCTGCATATAAGCCCTGAATTTTCCCTAAGGAAAAGCACAAGTACAACAGGATACATGAAAAGACTTGTTATGCAATTCTGATTCATCACAAAACAGAAAATGGATGAAAAAAAAATGTGGTCAATTCATACAATGGAATACTCTACGGTAATGAAAATAAACAAAGTACAGCTACAGGCAATGTGGATGAATCTCACAAAAATAGAGTTGAGAGAAAAAAAGACATGAAAGAACACATACACTATGACTCCATTTGTATAAAGCTTTTAATCAGTAAAACTAAACTATATTGTGTAGAGAAGCATAAATCATAAAAGAAATGCAAGGAAATTATTATTAGGATTGTGAAAGAGAAGGATGGATATAGGAGGGATTCTGGGTCAGTGGAAATGTCCTTCACTTTATAATTATTTGTTAACTTACCTAATAGGTTTAATGACCTTTACTCTGTTATCTTATATTTTGCAATAAAAAAAGAAAAAAAACACGTAAACAGAAATCCCCAAATAGTTGGAAGCAATGAGGGTTTGCAGCTGAAATATGACACCACAAATGATGATGTGGAGAGAGATGGGCAAAGTTGCAGATTACGGCAACAAAAAAGGAGAGAAAATAATTGGAGAATAGAAGAGCAGAAATGGTATTTATTCAAAGACAATTCTACACAGGACACAGAGCACCCTGGATAGAAGAAGAACTTCTTAAATCAGAAAGAAACTTCCAAGGCAAGTTTCCCAAAGAAAATGGGCACCAAGGGCAAAGTAAGCAAATATACTGTTTCTTTGTTCAATTCTTGTTTTATTGTGTGTGTGTCTTTATACAGTTGCTAAAAGAAGCGTCCTTGGGAATTACTCTCAGAAAGCAGCAGTTTAAAGTTGATCAAAAGCTAAGTCCTCATCAACAGATGTATGGATAAAGAAGATGTGGTATATATATACTCATATAGGTACTTTCCTGGTGGTGCAGTGGTTGAGAATCCACCTGCCAATGCAGGGGACACGGGTTCGAGCCCCGGTCTGGGAAGATCCCACATGCCTCAGAGCAACTAAGCCCATGAGTCACAACTACTGAGCCTGTGCTCTAGAGCCCGTGAGCCACAACTACTGAAGCCCGCGTGCCTAGAGGCCGTGCTCCACAACAAGAGAAGCCACTGCAATGAGAAGCCCCCGCACCGCAACAAAGAGTAGCTCCCGCTTGCCGCAACTAGAGAAAGCCTGGACACAGCAACGAAGACCCAACGCAGCCAAAAATAAACAAATAAATTTTTAAAATATATATATATACACACATGTACATACACACTCACAATGAAATATTAGTCATAAAAAAGAATGAAATCTTGCCATTTGTGACAACATCGGTAGACCCAGAGGGTATTAAGCTAAGTGAAGTAAGTCATACAGAGAAAGACAAATGTTGTACGATTTCACTTATATGTGGACTCTAAAAAGCAAAAACAGATAAACAAACATAACAAAACAGAAACAAAATCATAGATACAGAGAACAGGTGATTGCCCAGGGTGTGGGGGTGGGGCGTTGGGAAGATGAGAGAAATAAGTGAGGGAAATTAAGGGATACAAACTACTAGTTATAAAATAAACAAGTCACAAGTATGAAATGTACAGCATAGGGAATATAGTCAATAATTAGTATCTCTGTATGGTGACAGATGATAACTAGACTTTTCATGATGAGCATTTGAAATGTATGGAATTAGCGAATCACTATGTTGTGTGCCAGAAACTAACATAGTGCTGTAGGCCAATTATACTTCAAAAACAAACGAACTCATAGAAAAAGAGATTGGGTTTGTAGTTACCAGAGGCGGGAGGGCGGGACAGCGAGGAATTGCATAAAGTTAGTCATAAGGTACAAACTTCCAGTTATAAGACAAATAAGTAGTAGGGATGTAATGTACAACATGGTAAATATAACCAACACTGCTGTATGTTATATATGAAAGTTGTTAAGAGAGTAAATCCTGAGTTCTCATCACAAGGAAAAACATTTTTTTCTATTTTTTTAATTTTATGTCTATATGAAACGATGGATGTTAACTAAACTTATTGTGGTAATCATTTCATGATGTATTTAAGTCAAATCATTATTCTATACACCCCTTAAACTTATACAGGGCTGTATATCAATTATATCTTAATAAAACTAGAAGACAAAATAAAGATGATCAAAAGGATACGAGTGACCCTCATGCTAGTTATTTACTCTAGGAAATAACTGTGAATTTGCCAAAATGCTTAGTACAAAGGTGGTCAATTAAATATTATTTCTAATGGCTAAAAAAAGAGAGATTTGAGTAACTATGCCATAATCATAAAATAAAATTTGTATTCATTAGAAATAATGTTAGAGAATATGGAAAATATTCATTCTATATTAATAAGAAAAAAGTAGATTATAAAATATTACATACAATATGGTCCCATGTTGTTGTAGTTTATCTTATGACAGGGCCGAAAGTAAGCTCATCACATGAGATGAATTGTGCAGAAGCACAGCAGTAGAGGGCTGCCGCTCGCTCAGGCAAAACAGCGCCGTCTGTCCCGCTGTGGTAGCTTTTATTAAAGCATTATCTATGTTAACATTTTAAGACTTGTTTTCTTAACACTTCAGAAATGCCAAAGCAGCAACCTATGTTTTTATTAATTATACAAGCAATAATTGGCTTTCTTGAAAACATGCCGTGCTTCGTCCTTGAGCGCAAAAGCAGCACAAAGTTCCCACCTTTATTTTGATTATACTGAAGTAACACAAGGACATTGCCTTGTGTTCCCACCATACTGATTATACCGAGGACATTCTCATGGATCAGTGCCCAAAGCACTCAATGCTTCTTCGCAGGCCCCCGGTTTGCCGAGGGGGGGCGCTCAAAGCATTCAGCACTGTTCACAGTTCTGGCTTATTCGCATGCCCCCGGTTTGCCGGGGGTGGGGGGGGCTCAAAGCAATCAGGACTGTTTGCAGTTCTGGCTTATT